GGCCGGCGGCGAGGACTCGGCGGCGACGTCCGATCAAGCAGTGGCGAAGCGGCCTGGCTCGCGCATAGGCCTGCCGAACAATGGTCTAAGACCCTTCTGTGGTTTCCACGAAATGTTCTTAGAACATTTCTGGCGGAGTCGGTCTTGTTTTATCACATCGGGATTCCGTTCTAAGAACCTAGCTTTTGTTCTCAGAAAAGTATGGGTTCTGAGAACAGTTCGTGGTAGGCCTATAGGAATGCCGGGATGGTCAGTCCCTGCTCAAGTCCGAAGCCTGCCCTCGCCGAGGTTCGAGGCTCGAGGCTCTGGGATATCGTGAAGGCTTCCCGTATCTTCTGGCCCGGGGGCGACGTCGCCAGTCCCCAGGACAGGCAAGACAAAGACGGGTGCGGGGTGAGCACCTGTACCAGGTAGACTCCAGGAGGGGTCGGGGGACCGATTTTGAGCGGATTTGGCCTCATCCCCCTTTCCTGCTCGATTGTCTGGGGTGCTAACCAGTTCAGGCCCCCCAGCCGCCTCCAACCCTCGCCGATCAACGATCCAGGCGGCTCGATTGGTGGCGGGGGTAGCGTTCGGAGTTTCGTCGAGCACGTGGCAAAATCCGAACCCTGCTTCCGCCTCCCGTCGATTCTGATTGGTGCAGCCATGATTCGCCTGCCACTCGCAAAGTGGGGTGGGGGGAGAGGGGAAGGCGCGGGCCTTGCCTGTAGATGTGTGGCTGGCCCCCTTCTAAGGAGCAGCCTCCCTCTGAGAGGCCTCCCCCCCTCCCCAACCCTTCCCCTGCGCGCCGCCAGCTTTTGATGTCGCCACCTGGAGGACGGCAGCAGCGACGGCGCTGGCGGGCCTCTCCACGCCGCGGCGATCGGACAAGAAAAAACAAGGTTAACAGATGTACGTCTGAGCTCTCGGAGGTCCGCGCAGATTTTTGGGGATCTGCGCTGGGTGCCCCTGGTGGCACCTCCGGCGCCGCCCCCGGCTGACTCCGCGGGCCAGGGAGGAGGATCAAAGCGCCAATTTGAGACACCCGCGCGGAGTGTGCAGCTTGCGAGTGCAGTTGTCTCTCCCAGGTGAGGGACTTCATGCGACAGTGGGACCTGGAATCGCGTTTCGAGACCAAGCTCTTGGTGCACCTCAAGAATCAGGGAAGCGTAAGGCTCGAGTTTGCCAGGACTTTTGGGCTGCCGCCGTTCGTTTTGCGGTCCCTGGCGTGATCTTCGACGGCTCAGCGTTCGCAGGATGTGTGCAGCTGGAGGTCGCGCCAAACTTTTGATTGGGCCCGCTCCTGACGGCCCCGCCAGACAGATTCGAGCCCCCGCAGCTCGTCACCACCCACCAAACCACCCCAACTCGACCCGAAGGTCCGCATTGACCCTCCGGTCCCAGAGGGGGGGGCGTCGGGGAACACTGCAAGAGCAAATGTGAGGAGCCCCGTGCCCCCCCCCCCCCCCCATCCCGAAATCTGGGTCTTCTGGTGGGGGTGGGGTGGTTTGGTGGGTCGTCAGCTCGAGTCCTGCGCCTCCCCGAGAGAAGGGCGACGGGGACTGGCGCGGGGAGCTCGCGAGGCTCGGCGGAGAGCTCTCTGCGTCGGGCATCCCCCCGGCGTGCCGGTCGGGGTACCTCCTGGTCGTCTGCGGCTTCGTCTCGAGGGGCAACACAGCTGTACTCAACACGCCAGATCCTCCTCACTCCCCTCCGCCTCCTCCGCCTCCTCCGCCTCCTCCTCCTCCTCCTCCTCCTCCTCCTCCTCCTCCTCCTCCTCCTCCTCCCCCTCCTCCTCCTCCTCCTCCTCCTCCTGCTGCTGCTGCTGCTGCTGCTCCTCCTCCTCCTTTTCATCCTCCTTCTCCGCGCAGATCTCTGGCAGCGGCACTGGGCCCCGCTTCCCCAGGCCCCATCGTATCGTGAGACATCGCGACGGGCGGTCTGTCGCTATATTTTCTTCGGGGCCGTCAGATAAGACAGCTCCAGGTGAAAAGCCTGTCCTGCGGCATGGGTCGAGACCTCGGGAGGGGGGGGGTCCGGGGACCCCTCTCCCTGGCGAGCGGACCGCGCCAGGGGCGGCGCTGGAGGCGCCGCCAGGGAGGCCGCCGCTGCATGGAAAGAGGTAGGCGTCCGGGTGGTCTTTCCCCGTATCACTGCAGCAACGATGACCTGACTGGCGGCGGCCTCTCAGGAACAGGAAGTTCGCGGCCGTAGGGCTTCTCAGGATCAAGAGGTCCACGCGGACCTCCGAAATGTTGTATTGTTGGTTTGTCACTATCCACCAAAACACCTCGACCCACCCCGAAGGCCCCGATGTGCCCTCCATTCAAAGTGTGGGGGGGGTCGGGGAACATTGAAATTAGCCTGACGAAGGACCCAACCATATGCAATTGCGAGTACCACAATGTGGGTACCGCTTTCGGTGGAGCTCCCTCTGGGGCCACGCAGCGTGTGAGGGGTGTGCCGAATTGGGCGGCGGAGACGCATGCAACCTCGGCCTTTTGGGCCTTTGGTGGAACTCCCTCTGGGGCAACGGAACGTGTGAGGGGTGTGCCGAATTCGGTGGCGGGGACGCATGCAAGCTCGGCCTTTTGGGCCTTCGGTGGGGCTCCCTCTGGGGCCACTAAGCGTATTTGGGGTGTGCCGAATTGGGTGACGGGGACACATGCAACCCTTGCCTTTTGGGCCTTCGGTGGGGCTCCCTCTCGGGGCACGAAACGTGAGTGGTGTGCCGAATCGGGTGGCGGGGATGCATGCAGCCTCGGCTTTAGGCCTTCGGTGGAGCTCCTTCTGCGGCCACGAAAAGTGTGAGGGGTGTGCTGGGTTGGGTGGCTGTGACGCATGCCACCTCTGCCTTTCGGGCCTTCGGTGGGGCTCTTTCTGAGGCCACGAAGCGTGCGAAGGGTGTGACGAATTGGGCGGCGGGGGCGCATGCGACCTCGGCCTTTTGGGCCTTCGATGGGGCTACCGCTGGAACCACGGAGCGTGTGAGGGGCGTGCCGAATTCGGTGGCGGGGACGCATGCAGCCTCGGCTTTGGGCCTTCGGTGGAGCTCCCTCTGGAGCAAAGTGTGAGTGGTGTGCCAGATTGGGTGGCGGGGGCGCGTGCAATCTTTGCTTTTTTGGCCTTCGGTGGCGCTCCCTCTGGGGCCACTGAACGTGTGAGGGGTGTGCCGCATTGGTTGGCGGAGACGCCTGCAACCTCAGCCTTTTGGGCCTTCGGTGGAGCTCCCTCTGGGGCCACGAAACGTGTCAGGGGTGTGCCAAATTGGGCGGCGGGGACGCATGCAGCCTCGGCCTTTTGGGCCTTCGGTGGGCCCCCCTCCGGGGCCACGAAACGGGCGAGGGGTGTGTCGCATTGGTTGGCGGAGACGCCTGCAACCTCTGCCATTTGGGCCTTCGGTGAGGCTCCCTCTGGGGCCACGGAACGTGTGAGGGGTGTGCCGCATTGGGTGGCGGGGAAGCATGCAACCTTCGCCTTTTTGGGCATTCGGTGGGGCTCCCTCTGGGGCCACGAAACGTGTCAGGGGTGTGCCGAATTGGGCAGCGGGGGCGCATGCATCCTCTGCCTTTGGGCCTTCGGTGGGGCTCCCTCCGGGGCCTCGAACCGTGTCAGGGGTGTGCCGATGTAGGTGGCGGGGGCGCAGGAACCTCTGCCTTTTTGGGCCTTCGGTGGAGTTCCCTCTGGGGCCACGAAACGTGTGAGGGGTGTGCTGCATGGGGTGGCGGTGACGCATGCAGCCTCGGCCTTTGGTGGGGCTCCTTCAGGGGCCACGAACCGTGTGAGGGGTGTGCCGAATTGGGCAGCGGGGGCGCATGCAGCCTCGGCCTTTGGGCCTTCGGTGGGGCTCCCTCTGGGGCCACGAAGCGTGTGAGGGGTATGCGGAATTGGGCGACGGAGACGCATGCAGCCTCGGCCTTTTGGGCCTTCGGTGGAGCTCCTGTTGGGGCCACGAAACGTGTGAGGGGTGTGCCGACTTCGGCGGCGGGGACGCATGCAGGCAGCCTCGGCCTTTCGGGCCTTCGGTGGAGCTCCCGTTGGGGCCACGAAGCGTGTGAGGGGTGTGCCGAATTGGGCGGCGGGGACGCATGTAGGCAGCCTCGGCCTTTTGGGCCTTCGGTGGAGCTTCCTCTGGGGCGACGAAACGTGTGAGGGGCGCACCGGATTCGGTGGCGGGGGCGCATGCAACCTCGGCCTTTGGGCCTTCGGTGGAGCTCCCTCTGGAGCAGCGTGTGAGTGGTGTGCCAGATTGGGTGGCGGGGGCGCACGCAATCTTTGCTTTTTGGGCCTTCGGTGGAGTTCCCCCTGGGACCACGAAGCGTGTAAGGGGTGTGCCGAATTGGGCGGCGGGGACGCGTGCAACCGCTGATATTGGAGCCTTTGGTGGAGTTCCCTCCGGGGCCACGAAGCGCTGTCTTGGGTGGCGTTGACGCAGAGGGAGGAGGGGGAGGCGCGCGGGAGGTGAGGGGCCATGAACCGTGCGAGGTGTGTGCCGGCATGGATGATTATGACGCATTATATGATTAAGTGATGTTGGTGATGGTGATGGTGATAATGAGGATGATTATTAGGATGGGGATGGAGGGAGGAGTGGGAGGAGGAGGAGGAGGAGGAGGAGGAGGAGGAGGAGAGGCGACGCGAGGAGAGAAGAGGAGAGGAGAGGAGAGGAGGAACGCGGGGCGCTGTCTCTTCAAAACGAAGACCCAACACCACAGCATGGCTGGGAAAAAAACATTCCTGAAGCCCGCCCCCACCCCCAGACCCCAACCCGAAATTTGGGTCTTCGGGTTGGGTTGGGGTGGTCTGGCAGGTAGTCCGTGTGTTGCCCCTCGATCGTCAACGAGGCGAGCACAGACGAGGATTTTCGGCTGCTGCTCTCGGGTCCTGGCGACGTCCAGGCCAGCGAGGACGCCCCCCGCGGCGGCCCCGGGGGTGCGCGGGAATGCCGCGGGGACGCGCGAGGCCTCGCCGAGGACGGGGGGCCCGCCACAGTGCGCGTGCCGCCCCTGGCGGAGGGGTGGATGGACGAGGAGGCTCGGGGGCACCCAAGCCCTGAGATCCTGTCGTTGCGTTCCCGTTTCGCCGCGGGCGTTTGTGTTTTGTGCTCCCCTTCGGGGGCCCGGGGACCCTCACAGACTCTGACAGTTGGATGAGGATCGAAGGGCGACGCAGAAACATGAGGTACAGGGCTAGGTTGCAAGTTGTTCCATCGTTGGATCGGTGGGAAAGGGGGAGGCGAAGGCCAAGGGTGCTTGTGTGTGTGCGTGCTGGTCGGCCCGAGTATCGAGCGCAACATCTGATAAAGCATCCTTCCTTTCCAATTTGGGAGTTGGTTATCCCGGGTCAAGACAGAGCCGGTCAGTGGGGCGGTGAGGCCGAGCTTCGCTATTGCAGGGGATAGAACGAATCGACGTTGTGATTGTCTTATGGTGGGTAGCATACGATGCATCCTGCATCCCATTCTCACGACCACTTCCACGATTACTGCTACTAGTAGTTGTATGTTTTCCCCACTACTACGACTACAACTACATATTCCCATCAATGTCACAACTGTACTACTACTACTACTACTACTACTACTACTACTACTACTACTGCTACTATCACTACTATCACTACTACTACTTCTTCTTCTGCTACTACTACTGCTACTACTACTACTACTACTACTACTACTACTAATACTACTTCTACGACTACTACTACTACTACTACTACTACGACCTACTCTTAGTACTACTAGTACGACTATTTTTGCTACCACTAGTTACGGTGCTAATATCTCTATTTTTACGACTACTACTACTACTACTACTACTACTACTACTACTATTACTACTGCTACTACTACTACTACTATTACTACTACTACTACTACTACTACTACTACTACGACTACTACAACTATTACGACTACTACTATTTCTACTACTACTACTACTACTACTACTACTACTACTACCACTACTACTACCACAACTAATATCTCCTCTACCTTTGCTACGAGTATCGAGTTGAATACTCACACTATTATTACTTCCCCTACTACTAGTATCCCCACCACTATTACTATTACTACGACCGCGACTGCTCCTAATCCCTACTGCAACTACACGTAGCAGCAGTAGTCTACAAGTCGTCGTAGTTGCAGGAGTAGTAGAAGTACGACTACCTTTACTACAACTCCTATAATTCCTACTACTACTACTACTACTACTACTACTACTACTACCGTTCCTACTACTACTACTACTACTACTACTACTACTACTACGACGGCTACGACTACTACCACTACTGCGACGACGACTGCTACCACTACTGCTGCTACTACGAGTGACTGGTACAGCTTCTAGTGTCACATCTACCACTACTACTACTACTACTACTACTACTACTACTACTACTACTACTACTGCTACAGAAGACTGGGCCCTGGTTCAGGCTGTTGATGTTGTTGTCGTGATTGATGTTGTTGCCGTTGATTGTGCGATAGTTGGTGTTGTTGTTGGTTGTTGCTGGTCCTTGTTGTTGTTGTTGTTGGTCGTTCGTGTTGTTGTTGCTGTTTTTTGTTAGTGTGGTTGTTTTTCTGTTGGCTTGATGTTCAAGTTGTTGTTGTTGGTTGCTATCGCTGTTAATATTCGTATTGGTTGTTGTTGATGATTGCTTGTGTTCGGTATTGGTTGTTGTTGGGTGGCATCGTGTTGTGCTGTCGTTGGTTGCTCTTGTTATGGATGTTGTTGGGGATTGCTATTGCTGTTGTCGTTGCAGTTAGTTTCGTCGTTGCTGTTGGTGGTGGCGTTGTTGTTTGGCGTGTTTGTTGTTGGTTGTTCGTGTTGTTGTTGTTGTTGGTTGTTATTGTTTTTGTTGTTTGTGCTGCTGGTTTCTGAGGATGTTTGTTGTTGGTGTTGTTGATGTGTGTTGTGTTTGCTGGTGTTGTTGGTTGTTGGTATTGGTTATTATTGGTGTTGTTATTTGATGGCGGGTCTTGGTGTTGTTCTGTGTTGCCCGTATGGTTGTTGTTGGCTGCTCTTGTTCTTGTAGTTTTCTGACGTTGTTTGTTATTGTTGTTGTGTGTTGTTATTGCTGTTTGTTGTTGTTGGTGGTTGGTATTGTTATTGCTGTTGTTTGTTGCTGCTGGTGTTGTTGTTGCTGGTCGTTGTTGTTGCTGGTTGGTTTTGTTGTTGGTTTGATTGGTCGTTGTTGTTCTTGTTGTTGAACTTTCATTCTTTGAAGAATATTATTGTTGGTCCCCCCCCACCGGTGCACATTGATTTTTTCGATTGAAGTGCCACCCCCGGGGCTCGCACCTTGTTTTTTCTCAAGGAAAGTCTTCCTGCTCAAACTGTGCCCCTGCCCCCCGGGCTACAACAACAACGGCTCCCGCCTGAGACTTCCTCGATTTTTACTCAGGACCCCCGCTCCCGCCTGAGACTTCCGCGCAATTTACTCAGGAAAGGCGCTCCCGTCTGAGACTTCCTCGCAATGTAATCAAGACCCCCGCTCCCGCCTGAGACTTCCGTGCAATTTACGTGGGAACGGCGCTCCCGCCTGAGACTTCTTCGAATTTTACTCAGGACCCTTGCTCCTGCTTGACATTTCCGCGCAATTGACTCAGGAACGGCGCTCCCGCTTGAGACTTCCTCGCAATTTAGTGAGGACCCCCGCTCCCGCCTGAGACTTCCGTGCAATTTGCTCAGGAACGGCGCTCCCGCTTGAGACTTCCTCGCAACTTAGTCAGGGCCCCCGCTCCCGCCCGCGATTTCCTCACAATGTACTCAGGACTGCGCTCTCGCGTGCGACGTCCTCACAAATTATTATGGAATTGCATTTCGGCGCTCAGGAACCACGCACGCGCCAAGGACGCCTTCACAACGTGGTATCTTCCCTCTTCCTTCGTCCTTCCCCCTCCCCTTCCTCCCACTCTCCCTCGTTCTTCCCCTCCTCCTCTTGCAGGGCCCGCGCCAATTCCAATGGCGGGCAGAGAGATGTACGCCCCCGAAGGATTGTCCGCCCGTTCCGGTTTGCCCGTACGTCTAAGCCCGCCGGCCCCAGCAAAGAGAAATAATCCCCCCGAAAGGGGTGTGATCGAAGACGAAGAGGGCGGGCATCGAGGGTGTAGGGTATATGTGTTGAATGACTCGCGGGCAAGTAAGAGCGTACAGCCTTAAAATGGTTGTTGTTGTTGTTGTTGTTGTTGTTGTTGTTGTTTTTGTTGGTCGTTGTTCGTTTGTTCTTGACGGGCTCTGTCTTCCCCCAGCCGTCGTGGAAACCCTTCAGGTAACACTTGGGGTAGAAAGAGAATTTGCAAGAGAGGGGGAAGGAGGAGGAGGAGGCCCAGCACGCATGCTGAAAGGGGGGGAGGTCCTTTCTGTGATCCCAAAGGGGGGTCCGTTCTGGACGTTTCGCATATCCCCAGTGTGGGCGCAGGCCCCCCCACCGGTAGGTTAGCTTGCTTGCTCGGCGCGCGCGCCGGCAATTAGGGCGCTCGCGGCCCGTGCGACTCTACCGACGGTGCTGGCGCGTTCGCCTGCAGCTGCGACCACGCGAGTTCCGCCACTGGGACCTTTGGTGGAGCTCCCGATGGGCCACGAAGCGCGCGAGGGGCGTGCCAAAATGGGGCGGGGGGGCGGGGATGCCATGCGAGCTCCACTGGTGGGCCCTTCGGTGGAATTTCCTATGGTGCCAAGAAACGTGCGAGGCGTGTGCCAACATGGGGCGGGGATGCCATGCGAGTTCCGCCCCTTGGACCTTAGGTGGAGCTCCCTATGGGGCCACGAAGCGTGCAAGGGGTGTACCAAAATGGGGAGGGGATGCCTTGCGAACTCCGCCACTGGAACCTTAAGTGGAGCTCCCCATGGGGACACGAAGCGTGCGAAGTGTGTTCCAAAATGGAGGAGGGGATGCCATGCGAGTCCCACGCTGGGGCCGTAGGTGGAGCTCCCTATAGGTCACGAAATGCGTGAGGGGTGTGCCGACAGAGACATGCGGAGGGCAGAGGCAAGAAGGGGGCGGAGGGAGGAGGAGGATGGGAGAAACGCGGGGCACCGTCTCTTCAAAACTAGGACCCAGCACCTCAGGATGGTTGGAAAGTATCTCCAGTGTTTGAGCATGCAGCGTGACGCAGAAAAGGAGGGAGACGGAAACAACGGCTCAACAGCAGGAGGGGGGGGGGAAGGAGGACGAGGAGGATGTAGTCGCATAACAACAACCGAGAACAACCAACAACATCAAGAACAACGAACAACAGCTAAGAACAACCAACAACAACGACCACCAGCAACCAGCCAGAACAACAACAACCAACACCAACCACGCACAACCAACAAGAACGTCAGCCATGACAACTAATGACCATAGCAACGCACTACAACACCGGTCCATAACAACAACCAATACTAACCAACACGAGCAACAGCCAGGACAACGGCCACCACAACCAACAACAACACCGACAACGACCAGTTCCGACTCCGACCAACATAATCAACGACCAACAACAACCACGACCTACATCAAGAACGCCGACCAACAACAGCGACCAACAACAGCAACGAACAACCGCATCAACCACCAACAACAACAATCAACGACAAAAGTGCCGAACAGCAATAACACGAACCACCCGCCACCACAGCAACACCGACAACCAACCACATCTATCCTAACCAACAGCAGCACCGATTACAACCACCAGCCGCAGCAACAAACAACAAGAACACGAGCAACCAACAACAACCCCAAACAACGGCAACCAACAGCAACACCACTAACAACCAGCAGCAGCAACGATACCGACTAGCATGAGCATCAAGAACAACCAGCAACGATGGCAACAGCCAACAGCAACAGCAAAAACAACCACTAGCAACGAAACCAACCGACAACAACACACATGTTAACCAACACTAACAACCAACACCAACCAACATCAACGACAACAACCTGCAACACCACCAAAACGAACAACCAAACTCACCAACAACAAGAACAGTCAAGAACACCATCAACAGCAATTCTCATTAACAACACCTTTAACAACCAACAGCAACAACAAGCAACACAACCAACAACAACGACCAACAGCAACAACAACAAGAACAGCAGGTTCACCACACACCAACACACACACGATGGCAATCCCTTGTTTCTGTGAAACAACCGAAAGAATCATTACTACATCAGAACCGTAAGGGTCGCTGGGGGGAATCGGTCTGCAACCAGGAGCGGGCCAACCCTATTATTACGATTACTTTCATTATTACTACTATCGATGTTAATATGTTTGATTTTTTCTAACCTATTATTACTACTACGACTACTACGACTACTACTACTACTACTACTACTACTACTACTACTACTACCACTACTACCACGGCTACTACTACGATTACTACTACGATTATTACGACTACGACGACTACTAATATTACTATCACTACTACGACTACTTCTACTCGTGCCTCTACGATTATTATTATTACCACTACGACTACTACCACTACTCAAATTACTACGACTACTGCTTCTAGTTCTTTTACTACTGCTAGTACGAGTATTACGATTACTATTACTTCTACGATCATTTCCAGCACCCCTTCTGTTACTAATGCCATTACTATTGGCATTACTACTACCACTACTACTACTACTACTACTACTACTACTACTACTACTACTACGACTACTACTACTACTACTACTACGACTACTACTACTATTCATTCTACTGCTACGACAACTTCTACTACGATTACTACTACTACTACAACTACTACTATTTTTCTTGTTCCTGCTACTACTATTCATACTACTACTATTTTTTCTATTTCTACTACTACTACCACTTTTACTACTACGAGTTTTCCACATACTATTGGCACGACTACTTTTCTACTTCCACGACTGTTATTACTACGACCGCTGCGTTTTGCATTTGCTCATCTCACGTGCAAGTTTTCTGGCTCCCGGCTTGTATGATCGCCGGAATTTCCACGAGGTGAGCCCCCCCAATTCGTGGACTGTTTGGCTGAAAGTCCGTTTTCCGAAATCCTTTCTATCTCCTCCCTCCTCTTCCCCCCAATGCTAGTTTTTTTTTATTGCTTTTGCTAGCAAGACTGCGACCATTACGGCGAGAACAACCACTAGTACTACTACTACTACTACTACTGGGAGTATTCCTACTATTGGTACTACTTCTACCCGTAGTATTACTACTGCTGTTTCTTTTCGCTTTGTATCACTACTACTACTACTACTACTACTACTACTACTACTACTACTACTACTACTACTACTACTGCTACTACTAAGACCACTGCTACTATCACTATTCCTACTATCACCATTACTGCCATGAGTACTGTTTATGATTACTACGATTACTACGACTACTAGTACGGCTACTGTTATTAGCATGACCTGGACGTTTTCTAACACTGTTCTGTTTGCCATCGTTTTTGCACTTGTACTACTCCTACCACGACGACGACGCCGACTATTATTACTACCGCTACAACTTCCACCTCAACTTGTATATTTATATATCACGACAACCACTACTCCTACCATTAGCCCCCACTTGTTAGCATTATGGTGCCTCCGATTACCACACCAAGTACTCGTATTACGGCTAGTACGACTGTTCTTTTTAGTATTGGTATTGTGACTCTACTCCGTGTTGGTATTGATACTACTACTATTACTATTATCACTACTACTACTACTACTACTACTACGACTACTACTAGTACGACTACTTCTACTACTACCAGTATCACTGTTACTACTACGACTACTACAATTACTACCTCTGTGACGGCGACGTCTACGAGTACTACTATTCTAGCCCATGGCTACTATCACTACTACGATGACAACAACAACTACTATTACTACTACTATTATTACTACTACTACTACTGCTCTACTACTACTTCTACTCATACTACGACGACGACTACTACTACTACTACAACTACTACTACTAATCATACTACTACTACTACTACTACTACTACAACTACTACTACTACTACTACTACTACTACTACAGCCCCAGCTACTACCCATACGATTAGTATAGCCATTATTGCTACTTCTACTACTACTACCCCTATTACTACTACTACTACTACTACTACTACTACTACTACTAATACTATGACTACTACTACAACGGCTACTACTACTACTACTACTACTACTACTACTACTACTACTACTAGTACTACTACTACTACAACTACTACTGGTACTACTACTACCACTTTTACTTCTACTTGTACTGCTACTAGTACCACTAGCACTTCTACTACTACCACTCCTACTACTACGACTACTACTACTACTACTACTACTACTACTACTACTACTACTACTACTACTACTATTTCTACTACTACGACTACAACGACTACTACGACTACTACCACGACTACGAGTAGTATTGTTTCAACTACAACTACTGGTACCATCCGAATCTACGACTACTGTATTTACTCCTACTCTTTCTGCGACTACTACCAGTATGACCCTTTTTGTATTACGACGAGAACGAGTTATTAGGTATTCCCAAGTTGAAGCGCAGCTCTCCCCATAATTTGGCACTTCAATCGAACAAGCACATGTGTGTTACGCGAGTGCGTGAGTCCTGCATAATTCGCCAGGAAGTCTCGGGCGAGAGCGCGACCGCTAAGTAAATTAACAAACGTCCCCGGCAAGAACACGATTTCTGAATGGCGAGAGCGTGGCGCTCGAGTAACTTGCTAGGGAGCCACAGGTGAGAGCGCGATTTTTGGATGCATTGTAAGGAAGTCCCTGGCGAGAGCGCGACTCCTCAGTGAAATGGCGACGCGGGAGCTGCTGTTGTTGTAGACCGGGGGCCAAGGGCACAGTTTGAGCAGGAAGACTTCTTTTGAATAGGCAACAGTGCGCGAGCCCTTGGAAGGGGCATTCCAATTAAAAACACATGGATGTTACCAGAGGGGGGATCAACAATAAGTGTTCTCCAGTAGTGAGAGCTCAACAACAAAATCCGCATCGCAGAATCCCACTCCAGCCACGCACCCAGGGACAGTGAATAACCGCTCGACCCCCTCACTCTGACAAGCGCAGTGCTCCCGCATAGTGTGCGAAACCCCTCTTGATGGCCGCCTCGACGAGAGGTGCGTGAGCTCGTGCAGCGGTACGGCTTCGACGCCCAGCTGGAGGCGCGGCTCGTCGAGAACCTGCGGGGGCGCGCCCGCACGTTCACGGAAGACATGCAGGCTTCCGGGGCAGCGTTACGGGAGGGTGCTTCCGGCGGCGACCCGCTGATCGCCGAGGGAGGCCTGACAGCCCGCCCTGCCCAGCAGCGCTCGCACTCGCCATCCTGGTCCGGCCGCCGACCCATCGGCGGTGTATCGCCGAGATCAGCTGGGCAGCGCCAGCGCTGAATGACCGGTTCGACTGCGCCGCCATTTCGCGGGTATGTTGCCCGCGTGAGGTCGCGCGTAGGCGCCTTCGTTACCAACGTGGCGTGCGGCGCTGGCGGCCCGCACAAGCCGCGGCGCAAGGTCGCCATGTCATCTCGCGCAAGACCTGCTTCTTGTGTCGCTCAGGTCAAGGTTTCCACCTTCCTTGAGCTGGTCCCCCCTGACGTGCCCCCGCGGCAGGCCCTGCGTGGCGCGCTGCGGGCTGCGGCGAACCCGCGGGGGGCGCTGTCGCTGAAGCTGCGCGAGATGGACACTGGGGGAGGCAGGAGCGATGAAGCACGTACACGTGCACACATGCACGTTGTTTTTGAGAGTACGATTGCGCGAACGTTCGTATCACGCGGCCGGTCTCGTGGATTGGGGGACCGTGCTCATGCATGTGTATTTGTGGGCTCCCTCGGGAAGGAAGGCCATCCTTCAGAGGGGGGAAATCGTTCTCCTCCTCAGGAGCTCGGAGCTGGCATGGGTGTCCATTCGACGATGCCTCTCGCCCCACGGGCTACTGCCCCTGGAGCGCGTGCCACTACTCGCCAAAGTGCCTCCTCGCAGACGTCCAATGGAGCCTGCTTGCCTCGATACAATGGAGCCTGGCTGCTCCGATGCCACGGATCCAGGCCATCTACTCTGCGAGTAGTGGAACGCGCTTCTATACTGCAGGGCAGCGAGGTGGAAGACAACCAGCAGACCCCGCAGGGGCGGAGTTTTACGTAGCACCCCGCAGTTGCGAAGAAGCGTGAGGGGGCGGCGGGGACGTCGGCAGTCTGCGAGGGTCTGAAGCAACCCGCCGGATTCGCAGAACTGTTCAAGCTATACAACGAGCCCGCCGCAGGCGCTGATTTTTTGTTAAAGCGATGTGGATGGGTCGCAGGTTGGGTCGCAGGTGGGTCGCGGGGTGGGTCGACGGTGGGTCGCGGGCGGGTCGCGGGCCGGATCGTGGGTGGGTCGCGGTGGGTCGCGGGCGGGTCGCGGGGTGGGTCGCGGGCGGGTCGCGGGGTGGGTCTCGGGGTGGGTCGCGGGGTGGGTCTCGGGGTGGGTCTCGGGTGGGTCGCGGGGTGGTGGGTCGCGGGTGGGTCGCGGGGTGCGTCGCGGGGTGCTTTCGGTTGCACCTCCTAGGAGGTCAAATTCTGTTTTCGCCCTGGTCCGAAATCCGGCTTAATCCGGCCCAATCCCACTCAATCTGGATAAATCCCGCTTGATCCCGCTCAATCCGGCTCAATCCTGCGTAGTCCGAGGCCCACTCTGTCGTAACAGCTCCCAAAGGGGGCTTAAACCCTCTTCAATCTTTCCGACGACTGCCTCCCAGCAGTTGCCTCCGAACGTGCTGGTCCCACTGCCCTCCTCCCTCTCTTGCCGCGCCCTCGCCCGCAGGAGGGCGGCACCTTCCGCGCCCGGGGCCGCAGCCCGCCGGCCCGCTCCCGCAGCCGCGCCGCCGCGCGGGCGGGCCGGGAGCGCGCCCGCGGCCGGGAGCCTGGGGGCTCGCCCGAGAGGAGCTGACCGAGGCCCTCCGCTCCTCGTAGAACTCGTCCTCCCTGCCTCCCTGCCTCCCTGCCTCCCCCCTCCTTCTCCTCCCGCCCTCCGTCCCTCCCTCCCTCCCTCCGTCTCTCCCTCCCCCCTCCTCCGCCTCCGCCTCCGCCTCCTCCTCCTCCGCCTCCTCCTCCTCCGTCTCATCCTCCTCCTCCTCCTCCTCCTCCTCCTCCTCCTCCTCCTCCTCCTCCTCCTCCTCCTCCTCCTCCTCCTCCTCCTCCTCCTCTTGCCCATCAGAGGAGGAAAAGCACCGATGCCGTACCATTCCCCCGTTTTCTCCTTTTGCGGCCTGAGACCCTCGTCGGCACCGCCGGATTTGCCTCGAGATCCTGGTCAAGACGCGTCCCGGGTGAGGTCCAGGGAGAAACGCTATCGGTTTTTCTGTTGTGATTTGCCCAGCCCAGGCCTCTCTTCATTCGCCTTCCATTCGCGTCTCGCCCTCCCCTCGCCGCCGCCTGCCGGCGTCGCGGTGTTCCGCGACCAGTTGATCCTGGACAGGACAGGTCCGCCCGCTCCGCCACTCGCCGCGGCGGCGGCGTAGGCGAGCTCGATGACGCTCCCGCGCTCGTCTGCCTCTCCCTCCCGGCCTGGAGCATATCCCTATATCCTTGTATGATTGGCGACGCCTCATTTCGGTGCCTGTCCCGAGGATCTCATCAGTTTCTTAGGGCGCATCCCTAGGGTCGTCATCCCCTTCTTTGTCTGGTCGAAATTAGGAGATATGGATCAGCCCGAGGCTGGTGATCCCCCCATCCTGGTCCCCCACTGCGCCGTCCCGTCCCGTTCCTGCCACGCCCTTGCTCCCCCCCGTCCCGAGCCTGCCTCGCTCTTCCTTCTCTCGCCCATCTGTCCCCATCCCGATCCATCCTCCTCCCCTCCTCCTCCTCGCCCCTTTGCATCCCCACATCCCAATGAAAGTTCCTCCTCCCCACCCATAGCAGCTGCGACTTCCGTGGGAGCCCAGTGCGCGGTGGTCGAGCGCCCGTGCCACGCGGCGCCGCCAGGCGGGTGCGCACGTGTAGCGTTCAAGCCCCGCGGGCTGCAAGAAGGGATCGGGGATTCAGGTGGAGGAGAGGGGTGGGCAGGGATGGGCAATCATCCTTGCCTCCCTTCAGCCCGCACCACTCCTCCTCCTCCTCCTCCTCCTCCTCCTCCTCCTCCTCCTCCTCCTCCTCCTCCCTCCTCCTCCTCCTCCTCCTCCTGGGACCCCTTCCAGGAAAAACCCGCGGGTAGCAGCCCGATCGTCACCCTTGTTTGCCCGTAGGGGGCCATGGAGAGAGAAAATTCCTCCTCGTCGCCGCGGCCACCCACGGAGGTGGTGGTGGGTAGGCTGGGCGCGGGAGCACGGCCTCCGGCGCCCCCTACCCCGAGCAGGGCACGCGGAGCACGGCCTCCTTGCGTGCCCTGTTTCGCGCGCAGTTCGCGGAGCACGTGCTCCTTTCTGTCTTGGACACGGGGGCACGTGCCCCATCGGGTGGCCCGCAGGACTTGTGCCTGTGGGCTTCAGACGGTTATTTGCGAGGGGGTCAAGCAGCTGTGGAGGCTTTTTATCCGTAAGGGCTTCGCCCCTTGCCGCCGGCCCCCTCTCTCGGAGAATCGGAGAATGGGCCATGGAAGAGCTAAGTCGTGAGGCCTTGGCGCTGTCGTGAAGCAGTATCGAAACTTCATGCGAAGCCGATTCGTAATCAGCAAAACCAACTGATCACAAGAGGGGTTACCACACCTGGCGATTGGTAAGACGCGTATGGTTTACGGGCTTGGTTACCACACCTTGCGATTAAAGGGCCGAGGGAGTTCTCGCAGTTTGGGTTACCACGCCTTGCGATGGATGTGCGTGAAGGGTGGTACCGAATTTCAGAAATGTGGCAAATCCCTTGTGTTTTGGGACCCTGACCCCGCGGATCTGCGTGAGGGGTGGCACTGAATTTCAGAAAGTCTGCAAATCTCCTATGTTTTTGGACCCTGACCCCGCGGATCTGCGTGAGGGGTGGCACCGAATTTCAGAAATGTGGCACATCCCATATGTTTTTGGACCCTGACCCCGCCGATCTGTGTGAGGGGTGGCACCGAATTTCAGAAATGTGGCACATCCCATTCGTTTTTGGACGCTGACCTTGCGGATCTGGGTGAGGGGTGGCACCGCATTTCAGAAATGTGGCAAATCCCCTGTGTTTTTGGACCCTGACCCCGCGGATCTGCGTGAGGGGTGGCACGGCATTTCATAAATGTGACAAAACCCCGTGTTTTTGGACCCTGACCCCGCCGATCTGTGTGAGGGGTGTCGGTTTCGAGCCCCCCCAGCAATTCAGACAACGCGCCCAGAGGGTGCTAAATATCTGGTTTGGGCCTCCCCCCCCTCGCGCGGTCAATCAACTAGTTACAGCAACCAGCAAGAAACATAACTGCAACATTGGAAACTACAAGCTACAACTGGCACAGGAAACTGGGAATCCCGCGCCTACAGCCTGGTGGCCCCACAAGGGGGCCGGCGGATTTTCTCGCCGACGGCGCCGATGCATCGGCGATACATAGCTGATGCAGTGGCGATGCGGCGCGATCCTCCGACCCCATCTACTCGGACCCCATCTAGAAGGCGTCTAACATCAGGATCCTCTCAGGATCCTTTCACGAGCCCTTCAGAATCATCTCGCGAGCCTTTTCGTGTTTCTCTGAGGACCCTTTCGGACCCTCTCGGGAGCCTCCTCCCAGTAGCCTCACAAGAGCCTCTCAAGAGCTTTGGAGCCTCTCAACGGCTTCTCAAGAACCTCTCATGAGCCTCTCGGTGGCCTGTCCAGAGCCTCTCGTTGGCATCTCGGGAGCTTTGGAGCCTCGCAGCCTTCCAGGAGCGTCTCGGGACCCTCTCGGCACCCTCCTCCCGCAGCTTCTCCGGCGCCCCTCGTGCGACTCGCCCGCTGCGGCGCGCCGCGAACCCGGGGGCCCTCCCCCCCTCCCCGTCCTGGGCGGGCGGGCGGGGCAGCCTCGCTCCTGGCCCGCCGCGCTCCGCGCAGCAGCAGAGGGGGGCTGCCCGCGGGACTCGCCTTGCGGGCGCTCGCGGCGATGCGCAGCAGCACGCCCGAGGAGGATCGCGCCGTGCAACGCTCGCGGCAGGCAGACCCTCCGGAGGTCCGCGAAGGAACCCATCGGGGTCGGCGCGCGCCCCCCCCCTCCCCCCGGCAGGGGCCGAGAGGTGCGGGGCCGACCCCTGGGAGGAAGCCTGCGCGCACCGCCGAGCGCTCGTGCAGCGACCCGCCCCCCCCCCCACCCAACAGCGTCGGGGGTGGACAGACCTCCTGCCCTGACACGTGGATGAGCGCACTGGCCGTCTTCGGTTCGTGGGAGGGCGGCGCGGCGGTCCTTTCTGCGGGTCCAGGTCCGTCTGTTTCGGTCCCGGGCCGTTTCCACTGAAGGGTGGTTTTACTGAAGGGAGAGGTTTGCTCTCCCCCCCCCCCCACACCCAGCAGTGCTTGCACCTCGGGGTTCTCTTGCTTCGCTTCTCGGGGACTTGGCCCGGTCGTCGCTCCGGCCTGGTCGTGGCCGCCCGTGGCCTCCTGCCGCCGCCGTCCCCGTTCACGAGCTCGATTGTGCGAGGTTCGCCGTCTGCACTGCTCTGCACTGCTCTGCGCTGCATGGCGTCACGCTGCTCTGCATTTGCTTAGCGATGCTTTACGGTGCTTCACGTCGCACTGCATTGCTTTGCATTGCTTTCCATCGCCTTGCATTGCATTGCTTTGCATTGCATTGCTTTACATGGCTTTGCATTGCTTTGCATTGCTTTTAATTGCTTGACATTGCTTTGCATTGATTAGCGATACTTTACATTGTTTTGCATTGCATTGCATTTCTTCGCATAGCTTTGCTTTGCATTGCTTTGCATTGCTTTTCGTTGATTTGGATTGCTTTGCGATGCTCAGCGATACTCAGCGATGCTTTACATTGCTTTGCATTGCATTGCATTGCTGTGTATTTCTTTGTATTGCTTTGCGTTGCTTTGCTTGACTTTGTTTTGCATTGCGTTGCTTTGCATTGCGTTACGTTGCTTTGTCTTCTATCGCATTGCATTGCTTTGCATTGTTTTGCATTGCTTTGAATTGCTTCGCATTGCTTTGCATTGCTTCGCATTGGCCTGCACCACATACATTGCACCACATGGACTGCACCACTTAGATTGCACCACGTTGAATTCACCAATTAGATTGCTCCGCATGGGTTGCAAGGAATCACTGCTTGGGGCCCACGCTGGCTAACATGTCTTCAAGAGGATGATGGTGAGGAGCCCTTGGGCTCGAGCATCGGTCGTCTTGCTGCGCGTTGGGCCCGCCCTCGTCGTGCCGTCGGCCGAGAGAAGGTCCAGGATGGGCATCCTCGGAGCGTCTTGCATTGCCAGTCAAGGTGGCGATGTGCTGATTAAAAGTGTAATCATCGATAGCTGATGCACGAGTCAGCGACGTTTTTGCCATGCTACGGTGATCCCCACGTTTGACAAAGGATCGCGCCAGCGCCTCTAACGCAACATGCGATCCGCGATGGCTTCCGCAGAATTTGGCTCAACTTGGGCAGAGTACTTGGCTTCAGCTTGGTTGATCTTTTTTCCATAATCTTGCAGACTTGTAGGTCGCACCATATTGAATCTGATCCATCTGTGTTACTGCTGTTGCCGTGTACGCTATCGGTGGGGTAATGAAGTTTACTTCGTTATTCTGGAATTGCAGCTGTGAGAGTCTAATACAGTCGATGAGCACCCACGCTGCAATCCGATGGGCTGGTCTTAGCTGTGCCATTTTGTTTTTGACATGTGCCTCGTCGGGGAATTGGAACTTGGCTTGCACACTCTGCATCCCTATTGTTGCAGGTTTATTGATTGATGCGTGGGTAGGCTACCAGATTCGAGGCGCACGCGGTTATTGCATGTTCAGTCACATTCGTGATGTCCTTTGTAGGGTCGCCAAGGACGTGGCGTTTGTGTCTCAGAT